GAACTCTCTGGAACTATTAAAGAGATCCTGGGAACTGCCCAATCTGTGGGCTGCAATGTTGATGGCCGTCACCCTCATGACATCATAGAAGACATCAACAGTGGTGCTGTGGAATGCCCAGCTAGCTAAGGAACTACAGATGAAAATATTTCAATAAAGGATTGTTAACAAAAAAAAAAAGAAAGAAAGACCACCACCTTATCCAAAGAGAAACCACCACCTTGTCCCTGTTCTGGCGCCAGAATGTTGCAGACCAAGGGTAAAGTATTTTTGTAAGTATTAATAATGAGACAGAACACCAAGAATGTAGAAGAATAGAGGTAAAGCAGGAGAAAAACAGTTCTAGAACAACTGAAGTGAACTGAAGCACCAATTCCAGACATTTAACCACTGCTAAGTGAGACTAGTGTTATATTTTGGAGGAACATTCTACTTTGTACATCACTTTTTTGCCAGTTTTCTATACTGAAGTAATCTGGGTTTGCTGAGACTGAACCTTGTGCCATTGGGGTATGAAATGTCATAATAATTTCCCAATGTGGACAGTGTTTGGCCAAGCTTCAGTTGTAAAACGGGTTTGGAAGCAGTAATGACATCCTAAACCACATGCCTATGGAAACTCTATGAACTTGGAGAAATAATGATACTTATAGAAAGACATCAGGCCTTTTGTTCATGGAGTTGCTATAAGTCATGCTCAACTTGACAGCAATCAATAACAACAGCAACAGCATATCTCTTTTAGAGCCTTCTGAATTCTGCATTGTATTGCTGTTGTAGCTGTGTTCCAACCAGTGGACAACAACTAATTTCTTCCCTATGATCAACAGATCAGAACTTTATCATATCCTGTGCTATCCTCACAATTCCTAACACACTCCTGTGTCAATTCATCTCATTGTTTTCTCTATCTTTTACTGTTCCCTTTACCTATTCCAGCATAGCATTCTTTTTCAAGGACTAGTCTCTCCTGAAACCATGACAAAAGTGTGTGAGATGTAGTTTCACTAACGTTGCCACTCAGGTACATGAGTAATTGATAGTCTGTTCCATAACCACCACCTCTCCCTGTTTGGAATGCTCATATTGAGCCCCTTCACTCACTCTTTCCACTGAAGTAGTAAATCTGATTCTAATGTAATTAGTGATTCTCAGATGAAATTAATGTGCATAGTTTTTTGTCATGATTTTTCTTTTTTTTAACAAACAAATTTTGCAACAAGTAAATCATTGATTAAACAACTATCTTTCTGTATCGTCTCATTTCTGTTACCAAGTCCATGTTTTATAACTATTAATTATCTCCAATTTTAGCATTTCAGCTCACAATTATTACTAATGCATTTTTATTGTACATTGTATCAATTTTAGACTGTAAAAATTGATAAATACTCAATTTCTTAATATTTTGGTGATTTAGTTGTTTGTATATTTGTATGTGTATGGATAGTGTCCTACTACTCACAGAATTGAACCTCAGGATAGTTTTTAAATTTTTTTTTTGTTAAAAAATATTTTATATTGGTTTGCATGCAAAATTTGTACACATTATGTTTTGTTTATGTACATTGTATTTCACACATTCCTCTATTCACATTCTCCTCACTTTCCTGCCATAACAGATCACATGATTATCTGACTCAACTTTGCCTGTACTAGGTCACCTTAAATGGCTAATGCCTAAAGATGTTGTTCTTTAGTTTCATTTCATTTTGGACAACTTCCAGTCTTCCTGTATTGATACTTCCTATATTCCACATTCCAATCAAGTTTCTACTTGGAGCTTTCTGTTTCATTTTCAATTTTTTCTTCATTTTTTTTAAAAAGAGTCTTACAATCTAATCTAAAAGATTAGAAGAGTTAATCTTCTATTTCCAACAATGCCTATCTGTAATCAACAGGATTTTCTAAGGCCTGTTATCTCAGAACAGTACCTTCAGTCTTTTTTTTTTTTTTACAAGAAGAAAAGAATTACTTATTTTCATGTGATAAAAATAAGTGCATGCATTAGGACCTTCAGTCTTGCTTCTTAGTCTGTCTGAGTCTGGAAGCTCTGCTGAAAACTGTTCGCTATGGGTGGATGCACTGTTATTTTATTACAGCACCATGTATGTCACCACAGTATAACAGACTGCCAGATAAGTGTTAGATAGATAAGAACAAACTATAAAACAGTCAAATAGAAAAAGATCCCAAAAGCTATAGAAAACAGAAATCAAACCATCTTCCCCGGGACATCGTATTTGCCAGTCCAGCAAAAGACTGGAGCTGGAGTGCCCAATCAGGTTAGAGTTTCTGTTCTACTATGTGGTGACCAAAACCCCAAGATCTGAACCAGATCAAGGGTAGTATTTCTTCGGTTAAGACTTAGGAATAAACATAACTACAGACACAAAAATGTTTACTTAAAGAAAATTATAACAAAATCTACTACAAGACCCTGGATGACATTATGCTGAGTGAAGTATCTCAGTCACAAAAGGACAAATATTGCATAGATCCACTATTGTGAAACAAGATTGACATCAGGGTTGAGAGAAGACAGATAGGAGGGGAGGAATGATGTATACTACATTGAAACATATGAGGGTGAGAACTGTTTAAAAGAGATATATGATTAGGTATTATCATCATGATAGGAGTCCAGAATGAAGGCTACACAGTGGAGTAGACTTGGGGGGAGGGATAGTAAAACAATGGAAGAATTTTTCTTTTACTTTTCAAAGAGAAGAGCAAATTTGGGGGGATGGGGTGGGCAGGGAGAAGAGTGCAACAATGAATGGATGGAAACCCTAAGTCTCTGTAAACTTTCATTAAAATCAATTTTTTAAAATCTCCCACAAGAAACAAACAAAACTTACATAAACTGAAGACTATACCATGTTCAAATATAGAAAGACTCAATTTGTGAGACTGACAATACTATCAAAATTAATCTACAAGTTCAGCACAATCCCAATACTGAGATGGATCCATTGTTCAAGGGAATGGAAAAAGCAATTTGCTAATTTCTTTAGAAAGAGAGGAGACCCTGAATAAGCAAACCTCTACTAAAAAAGAAAAACACAGAAGGAGATACACTCCCTGATATCAAAACAGCATGGTCCTAGTACTGTGACAGAAACTGATCAATGGAATGGGAAGGGACAACTCAGAAATCAACTCATAAAGCTAGGGCCAACTGATCTTTGACAACAAGATAAAAAGCATTATGAGGGGAAATGCCAGCCTTTTTAATGAATGGTGCTAGAAAAATTGGGCCTTTGTCTACAAAAAAAAGGGAAACAAGATTCACACTTCACATCATGCACAAAAACCAACTCAAGCTAAATCAGAGAACTAAGTGTAAAACAAACAAACAAACAAACAAACAAACAAGATTACTAGAGAAAAATAGGAACAAACTTAGGATCCTTAATCTATGGTATGAACAGACTTGGAAGCATAAAAAAATCCATAGCCAGGAGAGGATAAATACATGAATGGAAGCTTCTAAAAATCCAAACCTGTTTGCATCAAAAAACTCCTCCAATAGCATAAAAAGGCAGCCTACAGAATAGGAAAAAATATTTGGCAATTATATATCTGATAAGAGACTCATATTTAAAATTGATAAAATAATTCAGCACCTCCACAGAAAAAGGACAAACAACATAATTCCAAAATGGTGTGATGATTTGAAAAGATGCTTCATCAAAGAGGATAATGAGATGGGCAAAAAACATGAGGAGATGCTCCGCATCACTAGCTCTTAGAGAAGTGCAAATCAAAACAACAGTGCATACCAGTTCTTTCCAGCAGTAATGAAAAAGTTCAACAGGAGAGCAAACAACAAATGTTGGCAAAGATACAAAGGCAAAAGGCTACATGCTCTGCTGGTGGGATTGTAAAGTAATACACCACTATGGAAGGAGATCTGGCACTTCCTCAGAAGGTTAAACATAGAAATACCGTTTGATTCAGCTCTCTACTACTGAGAATCTACCTAAAGAAATCAGAGTTGTGACACAAACAGATGTGTACACATCCATGTTCATTAAAACACTGCTGATGATAGCAAAGAGCTAGAAGCAGTCCACGGGCCCATCAACAAATAAATGGAGATACCTTCACACAATAAAGCACTTGTTGTTATTTGCCATCGAGTCGTTTCCGACTCATAGAGAAAAACAATGAAGAGCTTGTGAAAGAATACAAAACATGGTTGAGGCTAGAGAACATTATCCTGAGTTAAATAACTCAGTGACAGATGTACAAAAACTAGATAAGACTACTGTTGTAAAAAGTAGATGGTTTGGAGGAGAGTGTGGCAGGGACATTCGAAACAAAGCAGATAGATAATGAAAACTGTATTGAAATAGGTGAAAGGAAGGTCAATTGAAAATGAATGGACCAGCAGACATTATATGCAATTAAAAATCGGAAACAGGGGCGATCCAAGATGGCGGCAGAGGCAGAGACAACGTGGTGAACTGCAGGAGCAGCAGACTACTTGGAACAGGGCCACTATGCCCTTCTACAGACTTCTGTTTATTGATAATTGAACAGTTAAACAGTTGATGACTGGTCTTCAGTGAGAATTGAGGCTCAACAACAGGAATTCAAGGATTCCCAAGGAAGAATGGGTGAGTGCTGCAGCTCCCAACCCCCTCCTGCAGAGCTGGCACTGCGCCTCACCACAGCCGCAGCTCCATGAAGCTCCCACAGCCAGAACCTATGGAACCCCTCACCCAGGATGGAGAGTGGGCACTGGGCCTCCCCAGGACTGGTGCAGCAGAGCCAACACACTGCAGCAAAGTGGACTGGATCTGGGGAGAATTCTTGGAGCCAAGATGGCAGAGGCAGGGAAAGTGGGCGGCCACTGGCCTCCCGCGTGCAAGATAAAGCGTGACCACCAGCCGCCTGTGTGGGAGATGACACTGGGGAGATGGCTCGCACCTGCCAGCCACCCATGCGGAAGATGGCACGTGCCCAGTGGCCACTCGCACAGGAAGATGGCGCGCTCCAGCCGCCTGCTTGCTGCCTGCGCTGGAAGATGGTGCGCAACCACTGGCTGCCTGTGCAAGAGATGACGCCCGCGCCCGTAGAGAGATGATGCGCGCCTGCCAAGAGATGACACGCGCCCTCTGGTCGCCCACACGCGAGATGACATGCGCTCGCCGGCTGCCTGCGCTGGGGGATGGCGTGGCCGCCCCACCTGCACAGAAGTGAGGGCGCGTGCCCCACTGCCCATGGGGGGACGTGCGCCCTGCCACCTACAGGTTTGGGTTTCCTTGGAAAACCAGAGATGATCACCTATACAATGGATTGTTGAAAATCACTGTGAGTTGTCTACTTGATGACACTTAACA